ATATATATATATATATATATATATATATGTATATATATATTAAATACAGATTTTTTAAATCCAAATACAAAAACGAAAATACCGAGATATATACCGTATATCGCAAATCTGCCAAAAAATACCAAGATATGAATTTTTGCACATATCGCCCAGCCCTAATCTGTAGCACTTTATTTAATTCCCTGAAGTCCATTTCTAATGTTAGTCATAGTCTCTGGCACCAGTGCAGTTTTACATGACGATTTACAACCTCTCTCCAACCTTTAGTATTAAAGTGCCCATATTATGCAATTTCGAATGTTGCCTTTCATGCAATGTGTAATGTAGCTTTACACAACAATCTGCAAAGTTGTAAACCCGAAAGTGCACAGTAAATAAAGTTATTGTCACCCTAAAATAAATAATTGACTCTGAACAGCCTAAACGAGTCATCAGTATTCAAATCCCACTTTTGTGACGGCTACATGTCACGGGGTAACATATTTGCATAATGCATGTTCTACTTTCTATGTTCTTCTATGTTCTACAAACCCGATTCCAAAAAAGTTGGGACACTGTACAAATTGTGAGTAAAAAAGAAATGGAATAATTTACAAATCTCATAAACTTATATTTTATTCACAATAGAATATAGATAACATATCAAATGTTGAAAGTGAGACATTTTGAAATGTCTTGCCAAATATTGGCTCATTTTGGATTTCTTGAGAGCTACACATTCCAAAAAAGTTGGGGCAGGTAGCAATAAGAGGCCGGAAAAGTTAAATGTACATATAAGGAACAGCTGGAGGACCAATTTGCAACTTATTAGGTCAATTGGCAGCATGATTGGGTATAAAAAGAGCCTCTCAGAGTGGCAGTGTCTCTCAGAAGTCAAGATGGGCAGAGGATCACCAATTCCCCCAATGCTGCGGCGAAAAATAGCTGGGTGCAAACAGCTTAAACCCCGCCCTCAAACACAGTAGCTTGTTCATGTGGTTATTGGTTAACATCATGTTGAGAAGACACTCTGTCCTATGCTGTGAAAGTAAATTCATTTTATTTTCACTTCCTGAAAGATCAGTGGTTATAATTTATTTTTTCCATTGTACCACAGCAGTACAACGGAAAAGTATTTTTTCTAATCTCCAGGATTCACAAAACGCTTGCTTTTGAAAGATGGCCCTGTACCCAGTTTATTATTATCAGCTGGCTCCACTGAATCACAACCTAAGTATATGTGCTGTAGGCAGCAGACCGATCACAACAAACTGGGCCATCTGACCAATCAGAACAGAGTAGGATCACAGAAATTACGGGTTTAGAGAGACTGAATCTTAGGACTGCTTCAAACGAATCATTTGAGAATTGTTGGAAAATTAGGTGATATTTAATGCATATTTTGAGAAAACAAAAGCGTTTTTTGACCTTGCATGCATGTGAACTTATTGTAGGAGACTCCCAAAACAATATTAGGAACCTTAAAAATGGCATAATAGGGGCACTTTAGTTTAAATAGCCTGTTACTGCTACTGTACCTTTAAGAGTTCATTATGTAAAGGACCTCTATTTTCATAATCAGGTTTCTTAACTATCCTCACCCCAGTTAAACTATTTACTCAGTGATGAACAGATCATGGAGGATCTAAGAACATTAAACAAGGTATGGTTAGGTCTCAGTAAAATTGTAATTTTTATTTTTATGAATCCCCATAAAAGTCTAGCTAAGTACAAATTTCACTGCCTCACAGACACCATATCATAGTATGTTTTTGCCTAATTTTCAATGTCTCATTCTACAGCAATATTATCGTTAATCAAATTGTAATACACTTGCATATTCGTTTGCAGGCTATGAGATGAGAAAAAGTGTGATAGAAAAAGTTTCATCAAAATTTCCATTTCATCAAAACGTAATGAAAGTCTTTGACTCACATCTTGGCTTTGAAGAAAGGATCTTTATTATTATATTTTTTTCCCTAAAAGCTCTCTATTAGGTAAAAAAGTAAGGTCCCCTGTTTTATTACTCGGTGATATCTGAATTTTCTCATGTATTACTTGGTGATAAGAAGAAATTGGAAGAAAAAAGTGTTTAAAAGGGGGGGAGGAAATACTTAAATAAAAAATAGGAAATAGAATAGTAAATAGGTTTTTGACTCTGACATACTATTGGATTTACTGCCGATTAGTGGTTGACCAAGTTGTTTGTCCATGTCTGTCGTTTTTAAAACTGAGATTGCTGAAGAAAATCAAAACAACCTTCTTTTTTTGCTTCATTTCCTTTATAGCTTAAATCTCCGAAAAGACCAGGTATGGACGTTTTGTCTTTTAGAGGTGATTCCCCATATATTTTGCCAGAAATTTCCTATCAGTTTATTTTAGCCACAAAGGCTTTAAAATAAATTTGAAATTAATTGAATATGAATGTGTGATGTTTTTCAGCGTCCCCGTCTTCTCCAGAACACCTCCCATCGACTCCAGTGGACACCCCATGCCAGCGTTATGAGGCACGGATAGAGGAGGGGAAACTCTACTATGATAAGAGATGGTAAGGTACTCTGTGTTCTACTGGACTTTTCAAACATTATTAACCCCGGGTGAATGTAATTCTGAGTTATCATGCTTCACACAGTTCAGACTTCATTACACTATTCTGGTTTTAAGATTTCACACTGTATATTTCTTAACTCTGACATAACATGCGGTTTTGCATATTTATAAGGTCAGTGACTAAATAATGTTGGTTTAAACAGATGGTAACCCAGGGTAAAACACAGTGTGAAAAGCCTTATGAAGACTGTCTGATTTACATTGTGGAAATGAATGGTGTACTTACTGCTTCTACCAGTTGACCCTCTGATTCTTGCAAGACCCCAAAAGCCTCCAAAAAATCTTACAGTCACTCTGTGGTATTTATACTGACCACAAGATGGAGCATTCAGTCTTCTGATTTTCAATTCTATCATATTATAGTTTACATAAAGGACAAAGTCACTTCACAGAGTTGGACTGAACTGAGACAAGACAGACTTAGACTATCTATCTATCTATCTATCTATCTATCTATCTATCTATCTATCTATCTATCTATCTATCTATCTGTCTATCTGTCTGTCTGTCTGTCTGTCTGTCTGTCTCTATCCATCTATCTATCTATCTATCGTTCTATCGTTCTATCTATCTTTCTGTCTATCATTCTTTGTATTCTTTTTATCATTCTATCTGCCTGTAATAATCATAAAGGCTTATTTGTATGCATAATTTGTATCTTAAAATGTTTACAATTTTTCATAATGACTGCGGCATTAAAGTAACATGGCATGTAGAAGAGGTTATTTAAAGAATATTTGAAGCTTATTGCTTTCAGATTTGTATTGTATTTGGGCTGTAAGAAGATGCTATCTTTAATATCTCAGTTATTACTTTAAGCTGTTATTTCATTAGTTATGTGTACGTAAGGTTGTGTATGTGACGTATTTGCAAGAGGTAGTTTCCTGCAACATCTGTGCCAGGATTCAGGTCATGCAATGCTGACATGGTATTTACCGTCATCTGTGTCGTGATATTTAATAATGTAAACATCATGGGCATGATGATCCACATATTCTGACATGCAATACTCTGTACAAACTATCTAAATATTTATTTCATTAACAGATGGTAACCCAGGGTAAAACACAGTGTGAAAAGCCTTATGAAGACTGTCTGATTTACATTGTGGAAATGAATGGTGTACTTACTGCTTCTACCAGTTGACCCTCTGATTCTTGCAAGACCCCAAAAGCCTCCAAAAAATCTTACAGTCACTCTGTGGTATTTATACTGACCACAAGATGGAGCATTCAGTCTTCTGATTTTCAATTCTATCATATTATAGTTTACATAAAGGACAAAGTCACTTCACAGAGTTGGACTGAACTGAGACAAGACAGACTTAGACTATCTATCTATCTATCTATCTATCTATCTATCTATCTATCTATCTATCTATCTATCTATCTATCTATCTATCTATCTATCTATCTGTCTATCTGTCTGTCTGTCTGTCTGTCTGTCTGTCTCTATCCATCTATCTATCTATCTATTGTTCTATCGTTCGATCTATCTTTCTGTCTATCATTCTTTGTATTCTTTTTATCATTCTATCTGCCTGTAATAATCATAAAGGCTTATTTGTATGCATAATTTGTATCTTAAAATGTTTACAATTTTTCATAATGACTGCGGCATTAAAGTAACATGGCATGTAGAAGAGGTTATTTAAAGAATATTTGAAGCTTATTGCTTTCAGATTTGTATTGTATTTGGGCTGTAAGAAGATGCTATCTTTAATATCTCAGTTATTACTTTAAGCTGTTATTTCATTAGTTATGTGTACGTAAGGTTGTGTATGTGACGTATTTGCAAGAGGTAGTTTCCTGCAACATCTGTGCCAGGATTCAGGTCATGCAATGCTGACATGGTATTTACCGTCATCTGTGTCGTGATATTTAATAATGTAAACATCATGGGCATGATGATCCACATATTCTGACATGCAATACTCTGTACAAACTATCTAAATATTTATTTCATTGTTTGTGTGATCAAAGTGCACAGGAAGCTTGTGGTTTAGGATGAGGTCTGAAGATTACTTTGTCTTGTGCATTTGTGACATTAAACGTCATGAATGCCTCTGGATTTTTATGAGTGTGTCAACACGCATTCATCCAGTCGTGCCCTTTAGACAGTGGGCTGCCATAGCTATCAGCAATGCAATCCAACCGGAATATTTGTGTGCAGATGAGGAGAGAGTGAGCGGAGGAGGAAACGTGGTCTAGGGTGATACCGCAGACATTAAATATATAATGTCGCATGTATATTAAATGCAGTTTTATTCTGCTTTTTTAATGATGAGTGGAGAGGTTTAGTTATGCTTCTATCTGAACTTTTCCAGAGGATGTTTATGTGAGAAGGTTGAAGCCACAGGCTACTATTACTCTCTCTCTCTCTCTGCGCTGTGTTTTAAGAGATGACAAGCTCTCCCTCTCTAATTAGTGGCGTTTGCTAAAGCAACCGTCACTGTTACTATTGCTTTTGTGCCACAGCTAAATAAGTCATACTTTACTTGACTTGTAAAAGTGAGCTTGCAGTCTGCATTCAATGTTATGTAACAAAAATAATAAAATGTATTAAGTTGTCCTCCTCAGCGGGTTGCATGCCAGAAACAAACATGCAGTATGAACGGTCTGATTCACAAACAAGTGACTCTTGAGAAGCAGTTCTTTCCTCGCTGCTGAATCTATGCCATAGCTGCATAATTTTCACAGTGAAAGATAGTAAAAGAAATTGCGTTTTACCTGAGTTGTGAATGTAAGTTTGCGTTCTGTATTGAAGTAGTCTAGTGTAGTGTAATGCAGTAAAATGGAGAAATAATGCTGAAAAACCTCTTTCTATTGAGATCACGGGCTGCAAGCACACATAAACTCAGCAAAAAAAAGATATGTCCCCTTTTCAGGATGCTGTATTTTAAAGGTAATTTTCTGAAATCCAAATAAGCTGTACATGTATTTATTGCAAAAGGTTTAAACAATGTTATTCATGCTTGTTCAATAAACCATAAACAATTATTTCACATGCACATGTGGAACAGTCCTTAAGGCACTTGAGGTTTACAGGCAGTAGACAATTTAGGAACTTACACAAGTAAATTAGGAAAGTAAAGAGACCTTTCTACTGACTCTGAATAACCAGAATGCCCGGGGTTCCTGATCACCTGCATGAACATGCCATAGTCCTGCTACAAGGAGGCATGAGGACTGCAAATGTGGCCAGAGCAATAAACTGCACTGTCTGTAATGTAAGAGGCCTAAGACAGTGCTACAGGGTGACAGGAAGGACAGCTGATCGTCCTTGCATTGACAAACCACGTGTCTGCCCAGAACTGTCTGAGAACTGCCTTTGTGGAATAGTGGGGAAGCCTCTGATGGCTACACAAGATACTCACTGCAACTTTTGATACACAGGGACTCATTATTCAATTTTTGTTTGTTAAATGCCTGTTTAAAATGTTTAGTTTGTCTCAGTTGAACATTTTATGTTAATAGAAATATTTAAACATGTTAAGAAATCTGCCAGAAATAAAAGCAATTGCATGTGAGAGGGCATTTCTTTTTATGCTGAGTTTACAACGTGACCAGTCTAATATGATTCCCGAAAAAATGACTCTTGAAGGCTGGAGGTATGTGTACACGCAGTAATATTTGTCAGTCAGGATGAATCCAGTGTGATTTCAGATTCTAAATGTTCTGTTTATAGGAACCCTAAACAGTGTAGTCTGATACACATAGTTGTTTACCTGCACTTCATTTAACATGTATTTCTGATACATTTCTGAAGACTTCAGCACATGCGCAGTGCTCAGTCACTTCAATAAGCCTATAATGTCAGCGCGAGCAAAAGAAAGCTAGCATGTAGGTCAGAAGAGCTTTTTTGACATCAGAAAAGTTGTAAATCAAAAACATATGTGTGAAACGATTCTTTTTAGTAAATCAAAAATATGCAGCGTGATCAGTGTAACCTGGTTTCCAAAACAAATGACTAGTATGAATCGGTTATTTTGGTGAATAGGTCGAGAAGACGAGTTGCTAGTCTAAATCAGTCTGAAACACTGCCCTATATAATTTACATAATTTGTAGAGAACGAATTTCATTTTCGTTTTTATGTACATTATAACTAAAACACACATAAATCAGAATTGAATTCAATATTAATTTAATTAAATAGTATTAAAAATGACTTGTGTGGACAGATCCATGCTGGAACTTTATTGCTGGTTGAAGGTGGTATAATTTACCAAATGATAACCATAAAAATGTAACTTGGTTACAGAATATCTATGTAACTGCCTTGTGTGGAAAAATAAGTACACTTCTACATTTAGGAGCTGGTATTTCTCCCTTTAGCAGAAAAAATTTTATTTTAGGAATTTTTAATTGCATATCAGTCTCTTATATCGATAAGAGAATTCTTGCATGTGTGAATTTCATTTTCGTTTTTATGTACATTATAACTAAAACACACATAAATCAGAATTGAATTCAATATTAATTTAATTAAATAGTATTAAAAATTACTTGTGTGGACAGATCCATGCTGGAACTTTATTGCTGGTTGAAGGTGGTATAATTTACCAAATGATAACCATAAAAATGTAACTTGGTTACAGAATATCTATGTAACTGCCTTGTGTGGAAAAATAAGTACACTTCTACATTTAGGAGCTGGTATTTCTCCCTTTAGCAGAAAAATGTTTATTTTAGGAATTTTTAATTGCATATCAGTCTCTTATATCGATAAGAGAATTCTTGCATGTGAAATTTCATGAGGGTGAGAAAAATATGGCAGAATGGTCATTTTTGGGAAATCCTTAAAGCCTAAATATTGCTTTTTCAGTGGCGATATGTTAGGAGATAAGCTCACATACAGTGCCTGACTGAGAACATGCCCCTAAAGGGAATTTTCTGTAATGGTCTCTCAGTCTAGTGGATCTTAAATGACTAATGCTGTTATTGTTTCAGGTACCATAAAAGTCAAGCAGTCTATCTGGAGTCCAAGGAGAACACCAAGATCAGCTGTGTCATCAGCTCTGTGGGGACCAATGAGGTTTGTGTCTGATTCTCTCTTCTGATTGGTGCTAAACAAATGACTGTGCTCTTCAAACTAATGACCTGCTCGGAGGGGAATAAACAGCAGGTTATTGAGATCAGCCCAAGTGCATCAGCTTTGGAGGGCCAGAAGAGGAAAATTCTCATTTAGTCGCTCTCATTTATTGTAATCTGCATCCATATCAAAGTGTACGAGGATGTCTTTCCAATAGCTTTTGTCTCATTTGCATCCTTTTAATGCCAGCATCAATAACTCACTGCATAGATCTGGACTTTTACTTGCTGAGCCAGTGGCTTTGGAGTACAAATCACTGTTTGGAATTAATTTGGATGCTGGAAGAAGTTGGTACAGGATAAATACTGAAGTGCTTTGTCTTGGATTTCGATTCTCTTGCAGATCTGGGTGAGAAAGACAAGTGACAGTACGAAGATGAGGATCTATTTAGGGCAGCTGCAACGAGGGGCCTTCATCATTAGACGCCGGTCAGCAGCATAGATGTCACTCTTCCTCATCTTCTTCTCTTTCCTGTGCGTGCGTGAGTGTGAGTGTGTGTGCGTGCGTGTATGTGTGTGTTTTTAAACAAACATTTTAAAGCTCTTCCTATTTTACCAAGTCATCGACTACATGTTGAAGCATGATATTTCTTCCTGTCTCTCATCTTATTTTTCTGTCACTCTCTCTCGTATGATATAGATATTACCAAAGTATATCATGAAATGTCCTAACATTACATTTTCTTTCTCTGTGAACTTTGCATTGTACATGTAATGCAGTCACAACGTCTGAGGTAATGTTTAACGCTTTACTGTTTGATTTCAAAGAGCTCTCTATGAATACAATACACTTTGGCATTATATTGTATTACCAGTAAGGCATTTTCAATTGTTATTTTGTTTTTTTGGGATATGTAATGCCATAATCTATTCTCTCCATGCATTTGAAAGTGTACAGGGTTTCAAATTACTTTGCAAGTTTTAATTTAGTACTCAGTCGAATATTAAATAAATTTGGCTCATACAGTACAAAACAACATTTATTTCTTCAGAATTGTTATTTTCTCCCCTTTAACAGTGCTGTAAGTAGACCTTGTTTTTAATGCCCTTATGCTTGCATGTATAATGAGAAGCATTAATTTGCATTTATGTTCCTGGCAGAATAATTTTTTTTATATAACAAACAACTACATTTCAGCAGGTTGCTAAGATGTTTATAGTGCCTAGATATACCAACTTCTCAAGATTTGTATTGTTTTGGGAATACGTACTGTTACATTTTTATTGTAACATTGATTAAAGGAATAGTTCACCCAAAAATGAAAATTCCAACATTAAGATACTTTTAACCTCAAATGAGTCCTCTATCTATAATATTGCTTTCTGCAGTGAACAATTTGTCTCATCTGAATCAGGAGAGATATCTGCACCATTTAGCAAAAACAATCCAAACAGTTGGGGGATGGACTTCTTTTTCACTGGAGGAAGCCTTATTTTGGATTATGGACTTGTATTTTAGCTGGAAGTGACAGTTTAAAGTTAAAACACTTTTAAATGGGGGTTGTTTCTTACAAACCCATTCACTGCAGAGGATCTACTGGTGAGCAAGTGATGTAATTCTAAATTTCTCATATGTGTTATGCTGAAGAAACAAACTCCTTTACATCTTGGATGGCCTGAGGGTGAATACAATTTCAGCAAATTTGCATTTTTGGGTGAACTATTCCTTTATTGCATGGGAGGCCATTTCTCATTTGCGTATAGCTGCAATTGTTTAAACATTGCATTTCCAACTGTTGCTTCAAATTGCCAAGTTTTCATGAATATTAATGACTTGTTTGCTTTCATACAGATGATCTTAGCAGAAGCTTTATTACCAAGGCAAGTTACAGGAAGATGCTACAATTACAACATGTTTACTACAATTACTACTGATTACTACAATTACAACAGGTAGCTACGATGCTTCACTTAGATATGAAGATTTTGAGCAAATGCATAAAAAATGGGTAAATGAAAACTTGGAAACCTTTTTGTGAAATCACTGTTGTTGTCCTTGTAATTTTCAGTCTTTTAGCCTCCCGGACCCACTGTCTGTTTGAGACGACACCTTATTTTGGATGTCCTGTCATTTTCCTGACAAAATTATTTTAATTTCCTCTATAAATGACAAGCAATTCTCCAGTACAAAACTCAATTCCTTCCCTTTTTTGCATACTGAAAGACTACATTTCTTGTTCATCTTTTCTGCCATTATGTCCATTTTAATGTATTTTTTTCTTTTTCAGGAAATAGTCCTTATTGTCAAATCGATTCGTGTTTTCAGAGTTGTATAAAACATCTTGCATTATTACCTCTCTTTCCTGACAGAAACGCTTGACATCTTGTTGCTCGTGGTTAAATTGTACTTGATTAACAGCACTCGAGTAAATTATTATCACCTTTGTTGTTATAACATGCAAATCAGCAGCAACATGGTGTATGTGGTAGTTCTTGATCTAATTTATTACATACTATGAACTGAAATCCCGTTCAGTTTCTCCATAGGAATTTTCTCCATGATTTTTAAACTCTACAGGCCTTTAAAGACAGACCTACTGTGAGCTACAATATTATTAATCAATGGTATAGGCTTTTGTTGAAGCCATCTGCATTATTTACTTATTTAACAGTGAAATTTCTGGTAAAAAGCTACATTACCCATGATTCTGCAAAGTAATCTCCACCAATCAGAGAAGTGAAGCAAATTGGACCAAAAGAACTCTTTAGCGCCTTCTCACTCCCACTGCAATAACATAAGAGTCCGTCTCCATATGCCTTGAAACGACTTAAATACTTCTTAAATACTACTTAAATGCTTATTGGGACTGCAGTTAGTTAGTTTTTTTTTTTTTTCAAAATACTTTTTTGCTTCAAATCAAAGTTGTGATTCACTTTGTAGCTGGTTGGCTTGTTCATGGCTCTTCAGCAAAGACTTAAAAAAAAAATCCCTACGGGGAAAATTAATGGAAAAAAATATACTTCTAAAATCAAGGCTGCTGAAAAAAATGTCCAGGCACTGTTGTGCTCTATTTTATATATGTTACATTTAAGAATGAGTCACATAAACACAGACGCAAGCACTTGGGCAAAGCTCGGTCTGGTTAAACATACTTAACTTGCCTCTGACATTAAAAACAATATGTTATTATGCAAGCAAGTCTGTTTGCTTTTTTAAAACACTCCAAGACGTCTTTTCCACACTGTGACAGTCTAACAGCAAAAGTAGCAAATTTCATGTGAAATGTGAAACTGCACTGTTAAAAATATCACATGGATTGCTTATCATTTTTACCCTCATATATTACATTTTCATGAGAAAAAAATACTGTGAACATACTATCTAAACTCCTTTTTGAAAAACATGTTACTCATTATTGAATGGCCTCTGTGAAAATGCAATCCACAAAAACTCATTTTGTCTTTTTTGCATTTAAATAGACAGTTCCTCCAGGGCCAATCAGCATTAAATACATCACCCGTCAAATCGATGATGCCTAATTACTGGAATCAATATTAGTAAGGGTCAGCAAGGGTTGTATTAGATAAAAATACATTGTAATGACCAAGTGAATGTTTGCTATAAATACTCGCCATTTATTCCCTAGAAATAGTCTTTAACCTATTATTATTTGGTCTTGGGAAAAGGATTTCATTTAGGTTTTTTGCTCTGAACAGTTAGTGTGCCTTATTAGTGCGAGCAGTGCTAGTCTATAAATCACTGCAGTGGCTTTAACACAAGGGTTCCCTGGACACCAGCTCTGCTTCAGCTTCTCAGTTTCAATCCTTTCTGAATCGGTTTTCACGCTGTCCTGTGTACCAGATGCCCAGCCATTCCCTGTTCCACTGCGAATCTGTTGCCGCCCATGGGACGTCTGGCTGGTTGAAGTTTGGCCCCTGGGCCGCTCTGGTTTGTTAAGGGGAATATGGGTTTGATATGTGCTCCAGGTCGCTCTGCATGTTTGTATTTCCTCCTGCTTTATCTGTGAAAGGCATACCTGGTTGAAGTTGTAGAAGGAAGTAGTACGTTTTGAAGTTTCTACTTCACTCGCATGAGTGCCATCTGAAGGTTCATGTTTCTGTTTAATCGGATAGTTCACCCAAAACCTTCAATTCTGGCATCTCATGTTGCCTGAAACTTTTTATTTTCTTTCTTCTAGTCTTTTCCATGCAAACAAGCACCAATATATTATATAATTAGTCTTATTGAAGCCATATTTTTTGTGAGGAACAGAACCTGAAGTTGTGTGTGTGTAAATTTAGTACATCACTTCCTCACCAATGGATCCTCTACAGTGAATGGGTGCCGTCCATTGATCTAAGATGTTTGTAACTTCAAACCATTGCTTCTAAGATGTGAGTCCTCTATCCATAATATTCCTTTCTCCAGGGGGAAAAGTCATTTGGTCTCAATCAGGAGAGAAATATGCACAGATCAAGCACTGTTTACAAGTGAAAACTGTCCAGAACAGTTCTAAACAAATATGTCGGTGGATTTTGATGCGAGAGGACAACAGTCGATTGACTTTTTTCAATGTGTTATTATGGATTATGGACTGGTATTATGACCAGTTTAAAGTTTGAACACCTTAATGATGAATTTGTTTCTTACAAACACAGCTTTTCGATTCACAAGATGTAAATTGATGGATTGGAGTCATGTGGATTACTTGTGGATTATTGTGATGTTTTTATCAGCTGTTTGGACTATCATTCTGACGGCACCCATTCACTGCAGAGGATTCATGTGTGAGGAAGTGATGTAATGCTAAATTTCTCCAAATCTGTTCCGATGAACAAAACAAACTCATCTACATCTTGGATGGCTTGAGAGTGAGTACATGTTCTTATTCAAGTGATCAGTTCCTTTTAACTAGCTTGATTTTGTTATTTAAAATTGCTGTATGCAATTTTCTTCTGCCTGGTCTTTCATCCACCACTTCAGATGTTCCACTCCGCACATGGCATAACTAGTGGAGTCACACACCCTCTTTTGTCTATATAATATTTTCCCTCATTTTCATTCAAATATGCATTGTGGTGTTCAGACCTTTTTTGTCGAGGCTTATCATCTGCTACAAGTTGTGACTGTGAAAATCCATTTGTTGTTCGCGGCCTTCCTTTTTACATCACTCTGATTTACATATCTCTGGCTATGTGTTGTATTCTTGCACGCTGATGCTTAACAGCTGCTACATGAATATGTAATATTTCACACATGTCCGTTTCTTGATGGGAAATTAGAGCCGTAGTGGGAATAATGGCTTAATTATGTGTTGTGAGTCTGGGTCAATACCTGCACGAGAGAAAATTAGTCTTTGATTTTTCTGATGGGCTGTTTTGTGGTGTTTCCATGGTGTTTGGTGCTAAATCTTGAAAAATTTATTTTTAAAATGCAATTAAGATCTAAAGAAAATAATGGAACTTTTAAAGCTAGAGAAACAGCTCCAATTTCAATAGTAAATAACAAATGTTGAATCTTTTGCATTATTTGCCGTTTTCTATAGAGAGAAGGAATGAAGGATGACAGATAAATTGCCCTTGGCTTGTTGTTTGTTGAAATGTATGCTTTTTGGGGGGGGTTCTGTTCCGGTCAGGAGATTCTGTAGAGCTGCTGCAGAGGGAACGGATGGCATAACAATAGATCGATAAAGTGAAGTGTATTCCACGTGATAGAGTGCAGCAGGGCTCCAGCACAGCGGTGCATGTTGCATTTGTTGCTTGTGTGCTCTCTACAACCTAGTGATTAATCGATCAACCCTGTTCTCTATAGCCCGCGTCTGATTACTGCCAGAGAACAGCGAGCGTCGGAGAACTGCTCTTTTATTGTGAGGGAGCAGATGGAGGGATGATTCAAAATAAACATCTCACAGGACTCAGGAGTTCACTACTTGACAACATGACAAAGACATTTCAAATTTGATTGTGTGAGTGGGTTG